CACAGTTGTGTTATCTCAAACAACAGTGGGAGTTTATACATCCCCCTGTCACTCTTTCCCATGGGAACATGAGCTACCCTAAGCAAGAACACTGCTGAATGAGACTGCACTGTCTGGACAGATGGATACCGGCAGGGCAGAGGCGCACCCGGGGCATCCCTACCACTTCACCTCCACTTGGAGATCCATGAACCCTAAAGCCAAAAAGCACAGCTAGTTTTTAAAAAGCACTTAACACAGTTAAAGAACCACTTTGTCAAGCCAACCCCCCCACCCCCGCCACACACACACACAAAGCCATGCCAGTCTCTTGTTTTCTGCAGTGAAGGTGACAGCAGTGGACAGGTGCGAGCAACACCTAAAGCTCTACGATGTGGCTGAGGACTGACTGTACATTCTTCTTTTTTAAAATAATCATTCCAAATACAATGAGATGCATTGTTATAGGAAGTCCCTTGCCCTCCTAAAAGCCACCCCACTTCTAAGGAGAATGGCCCAGTCCTCCCCTGAGTCCACACAGGGGAGGTGATAGCATTGCTTTCATGTAAGTTATGAAATGCAGACTTTTTAAAATCTTCACCTTAATACGATCTTGACCATCCTTCATGATTCCCTTTTTTGTCCCCCAACTCGAGATGTATGAAGGCTTCTGGTCTCCCGGAGAGTGGATGGAGACAGCGAGACAGCTAGGGTTTACCTGTACACTGACTTGAGAGCAGTTTAATAAAAGTGCACACCTTTAAAAACGGGCGGGGGGGCGGGGGTGGAGAGAACCACTTTGAAGAATTTGCTTAAATCTTCTTTTGCCCAAAAGCCATTTGTAGCTGCTTGTCTTTCTTCCCCATCGCTTACACAGCATATGAACTACAGGCCTTTGAACTCAATTATACACCATTGCTTATTCATCAGTTTAGTCCTTAATTTTCAAGTCTGCAAACTGAGACCAGGGACTTTATCATTTTATACTCAAATATTTCCTAGGAACTATTCTGATAAATGCACAATAAATTCTGAAGAAATCCAGGGTTGACTAGGATGTTACTCCACAGCCTCAAGAGAAAACTGGGTTTTATTAGTGTTTCCCACACACAAGCATGTTTCTTGTTTAAGGAAAGCCTTTTTATTGATATAACCCAATAAAGGAAAGAAATCTCTTTTTCAAACTACATGGTTTGGGAAAGGGGCGGCAAAAACTTGTGGAGAAAGTGTTGTTAGTCACAAGACTGGCAATTCTGTAATAACTTTACATGCTCAGTTTGACTATCAGTTCAGTTACATCGCTCAACTCTGAACTCGTAACTACAGGTAAGAGTATGTCCTGTGTCACATTATAATGCTGAGCAAATACATCAACTCATTAAGCTGTCACTGGCATTCTTTTGAGAAATGTTTAATAAATGTTGGGTGCTTGGCAAAATACACAATGGGGATAGAGAATCTATGGAGACACCGACTCTGTGATTAAGACGAACTGCAGGTTATGTATATATGAACCAATTTTGTGTCTAATACAAGGTCAGCTGTCCAAGACAGATCTCAAAGGCAATGGTAATTCAGAAAGCCTGAATGTAAACCTGGTGGATGATGCTGGTTTCTGTAAAACTGTGTCTTCGAAATTTATAGCCATCTGGGCTTATAGTCTTCTTATATCCCAGAATCCGGAACATCCCATGGGCACCTCTGGGATGATGAAAGGGCTCACGTATTGAAGTCAGACATCCCTGAATTTGACTCCTGGCTCTTACACATACTAGCTTTGTGACCTTGGGCATGTCTTTAATATTTAATCCCTCTGAGGTTTGGTTCACTTCTTTGTAGAGCTCAGATAATACAAATGCTAATTTGTTGGCTGAATTTGAGATTGCTATACATGAAGTACATAAAATAGTGAAATACATGTCAAGTCCTCAAGTTGTCACTCTCGTTTAGTATCTAATAAATGCTAGGAGTGGAAAGGTGTTGCTTAGATGAAACCAAGTAAAACACAAGTAGGGTAAGGAGGTCGTTTCAGGACAAAGGATATTTGGAGTGCATCTTTTATTCTCCAAATCATTTAGTTTACTATAAATATTGGGTATAATGGCAGAACAGATTTATTATTCATCCTACTATATTCATTTTAACACTAAACCTCTCTCTCATTGATTTAAGAGATGAGGTCTTAGCTGGGCATGGTGGCTCACATCTGTAATCCCAGCACTTTAAGAGGCCAAGATGGGTGAATCACCTGGGGTCAGGAGTTTGAGACCAGCATGGCCAACATGATAAAACCCCATCTCTACTAAAAATATAAAAATTAGCCAGGCATGGTGGCAGGCACCTGTAATCCCAGCTACTTGGAAGGCTGAGGCAGGAGAATCTCTTGAACCTGGGAGGTAGAGGTTGCAGTGAGCCAAGATCACACGCCATCACACTCTATCTAGCCTGGACAAGAGTTAGACTTTGTCTCAAAAAAAAAAAAAAAAAAAAAAAAAAAGAGACAAGGTCTCACTCTGCTGCAGTGAGAATGCAGTGGCATGACACAGTAACTTTTTTAAAGTCACTTTTAAACACACTTCAAATTCAGAAGTGGCTTGCAGAGTTCTCTCACTTGTGCTGAAAACCATTCACCAAAAGCCACCTGGTAAAGAGAATTCTATCTAGTCAAAGAACATTCCCTCAGTAATACTGCATTACTCACAGCTCAATTAAAAGTAATCTTTAAAGCCTGGCTTCCTGGAAGGCTGGTTCTACATCTCACTGTAGTTTAATGAGGCAGGAGAGCTAACTGCTTCCTCCTCTGCAGGGGCCTCCATGCTCCTTAAAGGATCTGTCTAAATGGGTCTGCATGTGTCCCAAGGATGAGGACACTGGTTTCTTACACCAATGCTTCAAGAGTTTGCACATCTCTCATTAAGACAGATTCTGATTCAAGAGATCTGAGGGCAGAGGCTGGGATTCTAATAAGCTCCCAGATCACATTGTGTGGCTGGTTTCCAGATGATACTTAAGGTACCGCCATCTACAGGGCTAGGACAAGCAAGTCACAAACTAAGGGAAACAATATCCTCTATTCTTAGGGTTCAAGATAAGTAGATTATAGAAACAGACTAAGACCAACGGAATACAGAAAACGCCTGACTTCCATAGAGAAAACAGATCTAGAACCAGAATCCAAGATCCTTTCATAGACATAAGGATCAACACCTCTTTCAAGCTGAAAGCATCCTTTCCCATTCCTTTAAACAAAGTTCTTTATTCTTCTCCGTGATATAAAACATCATTTTTGCTAGGTGTCAGTTTCTTGGAGTAGCTGTTAGTGAAAACACATGCCAAAGTGCTGCTAGTGTCTTCTGTTGAAAAGAAAGAAATGCCACACTGCTTTAAACATAAAAAAGTCTGAAAAAGATGACAGTAATAGCATTAGCAAACAGAATAGCTGGGCACCAAATGGTTTCTGAAAACCTAACGTGCATTCTGTAACTGTCACTGATTTATGTGAAGTCTGACCTTCAGAGACTGAACAAATGAACAAACCATCTCAGAGACATTTCCCATGTTAAATTAGAAGCATTATACCATGGTGATAGAAAACCAACGTGTCCTAAGAAACACTGCGGTTGTGTGGATGAAACAAGGCTGGAACCCAGCAAGCAGTCTTGCTGCCACCACCACCAGGTCACTTCACCAGCTGGGTGACCTTGCTCATACACTTAGCCTCTTGAAGACATAACCTGCCAGTTGAACGTACTCCTTTCTCCTCTATTATTACCTTGCTCATTTTGTTCAGCATTCACCCCCACACATGCCAACAGAAGGCAGCCTTTTCCAAGCCCAAGGAGTGACTGTGGATTTGCCTTAAGTGATTGTTGTCCCTCCACGGCCAACAACAGATTTAAAATCAGAAGTATGTGATGTAACTGATGGTGCTTCTGCACCCATAAACTGACAGCCCTGGAACCACTTATGTGTATATGAAATGCTTTCGGCTGCAAGAAACGCTATGACTGATTCATAGGCTACAACCTTATGAGGAGTAAAACATGGTTTTCTTTCCAGTTCGTTTCTAGGGACTGCTGTGTTACCTTGTACTACCCAGTATTTATTTATCCTGGCAATCTGAACAGAGTTCTACGAGTCTCAGAGACAGTCAGGTGTGGGCATATGATCACAATACCTTGCACAGCACTTATGAAAAGCAGACATCCAATAAAAGTTTATGGGTGCACGCTCCCTTACCCAGTGAGAGCACTGGAAGAGAAGCCAAGAATTCAATGGTGAAAAACCTAAATCAACCCTCATCTCCAAAGGGCAGCAAGCAGGACAGTCAGTGGTTTTCGCCTTTCAGAGATAAGAACCACCTGGGAAATATTTTATAATCACCGATTCCCTAGCCCCATCCACGCTTAGTTTTAACAAGCACGTGGGTCACTCATTTAACAAACATCCAGGTGGATCTGTGCCCCCCCCCCTTTTTAAGAAAGACTTTTTCCTCTGCCCCAACAATCTTTTTGTTTTCCGTCAACACAACCACTCACAGTCCTCTCCCTTTTTCGTCCCGAGGCCTTGGCAATCACACTCCGCCCCAGCAGAAGGTCAGAACACAGCCAAGTGCCAAGACTTGCCTTGTTGACTTTGTACTTTCGCAACAAAACACAAATACAAAAGCAGCCATCCGTGTTCGCTATGCCCCACTGTTGACACCCAAAATCCGATCCAGTCTCCTTCAGACTTGTAACCTCTCCTTCTCCGACTTCCACCACGCAAGTATTTCAGGGAGCGGCAAACATCCTCAAAATCTCAGGGTACGCACCCTATATGCAAACTCAGTTGCTCGGTGTTGCTCTGACTCCTATTCAACCAACACTTAAAGATTCGCACCGCGCAATCGGCACCCAGCATTCTCCAGCGCAGACGCGACCAGGGTCCCCAGGGCGTCTCCAAACCCCTCCTTTACGGTGCCGCCTCCCCAGCCGGCCGGGTGCGCAGCGGCAAACGCCCCGCAGAGCCCCCAGGCTTACCTGTAGCATGTGGCGAGCTCGCCTGACGGCTTCAGACACGGGTATTTAGTCGTCGCGATTTTGTTCTCTGAGCAGATCTCTCTACGAAAAAGCGCAGAGAAAACGTGCGACTCAGCGGGAGAGCCGAGGCGGGCATGGCGCGCCGGGGAATCCCTGGCGCGTGGGGATCGCTGGGCTCCGCGTCCGGGCGCGCTGGGCAGGGGCTGGTCCCCAAACGCGGACGCGGAGCGGACTGCGGCCACAGGGACTAACCAGGCGAGGGAGAAAGGAAGCGGAGCTCAGGAGCTGTGCCCGCCGGAGTGGCATCCGGGGGGAGGCAGGAGCGCAGGGCGGAGGGTATCCCAGACGCAACCCACGGCGGGCAGGGAGCAGAGGCTGATACCGGGAGCGGCGGGACGTCTCGCCCAGCACAGCTGAGCACCCTGCTTACGGCCGGAGCAGCGGGGACGTGCGGATGGCTGCGGGAGTGGGTTCCGGGAGGACCGTCCGCACTCTGCGCCCCGGCGCGCATCACGCTGGAGCTCGCCCTCCTCTGGGGCTGGCAGCGCTTACCTGTCGCTGTCCTCAGGCTCCTCTCTGTAGGTCCACGTGTGTCCCAGCGCCAGGAGCAGCAGCAGCGGACCCAGGCTCCTGCCCAGCTGGCCCCTGGCAGCTCCTCCCCGGCTCGGAGGCGGCGGCACCATCAGGGAAGCTCCCGGCTTCTTCCCAGCGCCCGAGCTCGGTCCCGGCCCCGGCGTCCGGCTAGTCCGCGGCCGCCGCCGCCGCCGCCTTCCCTCTTCCCGGCAGGGGGCGCCGGAGAGCAGGGGCGTTTGCACCACCTGCACTGGGATCAGGGGCCCGGGGTATTATGCGGCTGGGGGAAAATTAGTATAGGAGTTGGGGTGCCGGATGCAAACCCAGCAGAGAGGCAGGTAAAGGGGGTCCCTGCAGTGTCCGGCTGGTGCGACGGAGCTGAGGTCCAAGTCGCCTCGTCGGGACTTTCACGCCCGATTGACAGACTTGCTAGACTCCGCTTGGGGCAGCCCTCGCCTCTTCTCTCTCCCTCCTTCGGGAGAGCCGCGCAGGGTGGGGAATGCGGGCGGTTGTTTGCATTTTGCACCAGGGTCGCACGACCGACTGGGAGGAGGAGGAGCTGATTCTCCACCGGGGAGGGGAAGAGGGAGGGGGAGGAGAGGGGTTAATAAGCTTCCTTCCTGTTGTCTGTGGATTTCTAAAGCCCAGGGTCAGACCAGTGTTTGCCTTTGCTCCTTGAGGACCTACCCTGCTCTTTCCAACTATCTTAGTCTTCTTTTCTCTTAGACTCTGCGAGGAAGGAGGAGTTGAAAGGCTATAACGGGCTCTCGAATTGTTCAAACCTGAAATAGCGCTATTTATAGTGTAATCAGTCTTCCTTAAAAACTTTAGAAGTTCTCTGTTTCATTGGTCAATAAACTATGTGCTGTCTTCTTCATAATTCGAGTTCATGCAAGTAAGGTGGTCTTTCTGGGAGCCTTACATCTCCTTGCCCTGAGCGGCGTTAATACTGTTTCCACGGCACGCACATCAGAGCTGGAAACGCCCCCCATCAAATGAGACACGTGGGGGCAAATTAATCACAGGTGCTGCTACCTGCTAGTGTATGCAGCTGTGTTTATAGGTAACAACACATTGCAGGGGGCGGTAGATCAGCTCCCTGGACGGTGACCCTGATTGTAATTTGTATGTCAGTATCTTAATACTTTGCTACACTTTAGTTTTCTCGGTCCTTTGAAGAGAAAACTGGGGACGTGGATGTGGCCCAGAAATAAGCTGAAAAAGGAAAGGTTCTACTGTCTAAGCTCTAAAATAAGTATGGTTCTGCTTCTCGCAGGACAATGAAGTGAAAAAGTGGCTTGTTCACAAGTGATCGGTGTGTAAATTGGTTAGGTAAGCACGTGTTTTGATTTACATACTATTCTGGTCAACTGAGAATTACCAAACATATCACACATTGTTTTTTGTTTTTTTTTTTTTTTTTTAGATGGAGTCTGGCTCTATTGCCCAGGCTGGAGTGCAGTATCTCAATCTTGGCTCACTGCAACCTCTGCCTCCCCGGATCAAGAGATTCTTCTGCCTCAGCCTCCAGAGTGGCAGGGATTACAGATGCATGCCAGCTAATTGTTGTATTTTTAGTAGAGATGGGGTTTTGCCATATTGGCCAGGCTGGTCTTGAACTCCTAATCTCAAGTGATCTGCCCAACTCGGCCTCCCAAAATGCTGAGGTTACAGGCATGAGCCATAGCACCCAGCCTACATTGATATTTTTGGTAGCAATGGCATTCTCATTCTTTGGTAGAATGCTATGTCTTTTCCCAAAATTTTTTATAATTAAGATTTTATTTGGTTCCCAAAATATCCCTTCAATCTGAGCATCTGATTTCTTAGTTCGGTGAGGTGTGTTTTTTATTGGTTTGTTTTATGAAACTTACATATTCGGAAGACCACCCACTTGATATTAAAATATGACACTGCCAGTTAACATAAATGAGTTAATTTTTATTTGATCATTCAGAAGACACTTCAGAATCTTGCAAAACTAGAGAGTGACCATCATGAGATCAGAAAACAACTTACCACGAGGTCAGAAAAAACTGGATTCAAACTCAGGCTGTTGGTTTCCTGGAGGACTGATCTGCAGTAAGCTACTTTCTGACACTCTGTTTTCTCATCGGTAAAATGGGGAAATATCTCTCATCAACTTTTATGAGTATTAAATGAAACAATGCTTACATAGCATTTTGTCTATCATGCCTGGCATATATTGAGTGCCCAGTAACCATTGTTATTACTATTGGTTATCACTATTGTTATTACTAATGGTTATATTGTAATATAACCATTGTTATATTACAATAATTGTAACATAAATTATTGTATTGCACAGAACTTTTAAGTTTTTGCCTTCTAGCTTTCACTTCCTAGATATACAAGAGTCCATTTTATAACAATTGTTTGGGTTCCTAAAGAGACCTCACTAAGTACATGAGAAAGAAACTCCTTCTGGAGATTATGATAATTGTATCTCTTCAGATTGTGCCAAAAAAGTGTTTGATTTACATCTTGGAAAAGAGAGTCCATCTTGTAGGAGGTTCCACTGTTAATTCCTTACCAATTACTGTATTTTGACACCTTGCTATCTTTTTTTCCCCTCATCTTCGCTCATTTTATTCTTCTACTGTTGCATTTTGGAAATTAGTTGTACAAGTAATAGAGCATGGTGTTGGAGATTAATTATCAGCTTCATTAAATAGTTACCAGGCCACAAGTGGAGACCTGCAGCATTTCAGGGAAAGTGATTCAGGCTGCCAAATGATAAAAGTAAAACCATGTCCATTATACACAGCTGTGTGGCAGAAGACTGGCATCAGAGCTGACTTTGCCGCCGTTTTATTTTCAGCTCCTCATGCTGAGTGCCCACGAGAAGGAGGGGTTAGAGAAGGTGCTGGGGCCAGCAAATGGCTCAGGTTTGCACAGGGAGGAAATCCCAACGGTGGGTGGTCATAGCATTTCATGCATTTCTGCAAGAGGTGAGCTGGAGCTGAAATCTGAAAAACCTTTGCCTAGAGGCTTGTAATTTCAACCTACTGGCAGCTACTGACAGCATGGGATGCTGGGAGAGGTTGCTGGGCTGGGGAGCACTGCCAAGCCAGAAAGAGGTATGGATGACCATGTACAGATACTTGCCCCTAAACACTCCTTCCTGTAAAAGACAAAACCTGCATTGCTTAGGCTGCGAGCTGCATGGTAGATGTCAGTGCTGAGGCTGACTGTGGTGGGAGCCTTAAGGGTGCTGGGTTTTCTTTCCTCCCTGCTGGACCATGCACAAGCCCAGGCCTGCTCTGTCCCTTCACCTATGAAACACTGGCCTGAGAGAACTTGCCATCTACCTCTTTCGTAGGAGCATTACAAAGATTAATGACAGGGCCCTAAATGCTCCTTCGGGAAGGCTGTGTGTGATTATGTGATTATTTCTTTTCAGCATACCAGTCTTTGCACTGTTTTTCATAAAGATCTGTCAGTTTCCCTGAAACAAACCAGAGAGTGTATAGTTATACAATTTACTGTGTCCTGGGGCTGTGTCTGCCGCTTTCCAGTGCATACTGTGTTACAGGTTAGAGTCCTTGATGGACCAGGTACTGTTAAGCAGTACTGCTGCCTGTGCCTGGGGGTGGGGTGACTGGCTGGAGAACAGAGACAGGGCTGCGGACAAAAGTAAAGTGAAAGAATAAAAGAAAAGTAAACAGGCCACAGGGCAGAGAATACACTTCTAAATAAAACCAATGGTCTCATCTCAGTTTTAAGGACTCCAACATCTTATTTGGAGAAAATCAGGATATAAAGAACAGACCATCACTAACTGGAACAATTTATTTCACTATTATTTAAAGATTTTCTTATAAAAAGGATTGATGGTGGCTGACAAAAATACACTATTTTATTGTGTGTGTGTGTGTGTGTGTACATATATACACAAAGGGTATGTAGTATAGGGCAAAATTAGATAAAGAAATTAAGCCAAAGGAAAAATCAGGATCAAATAATAAATAAAGCTGATGTTATGTTCATTGGCGGGGCTGTATAAGGAAAGTCCTGTGCCACATTTCAAACAGATTACAAATCAGTTCTCAAATTCTCAGTCAATTCAGGATAATTACATGATCAGTTATGAGAGTCAAGGTAACCATAAAAGAAAGGCCTATAAATTGCTTAGAAAAAAAATGACAGATTATTCCCCCTGGTCTCCCTGAAATATAGCAACAGTCACCTGACTGTAAGGTAAGGTGAAACAAGTCTCAACAGGTGTAGATAAAGTTCATATTGTACTGTGAGTGATAGACAATAAGATATCCCTAAAATAAACAGGTTGCCCTGATACCTTTCCTTCAGTTTCAGTTTTGATTGACGTTCAGTGAGGTCCATTTAGTGAATTAGTGTTACAGCTGGGTATTGTGGCTCACACCTGTAATCCCAGCACTTTGGGAGGTTGAGGCAGGTGGATGACCTGAGGTCAGGAGTTCAAGACCAGCCTGGCCAACAGGGTGAAACCTCATCTCTACTAAAAATACAAAAATTAGCTGGTTTGGTGGTGGGCTCATGTAATCCCAGCTACTCGGGAAGCTGAGGCAGAAGAATTGCTTGAACCCAGGAGGTGGAGGTTGCAGTGAACCAAGGTCACACCACTGCACTCCAACCTGGGCAACAGTGAGACACTGTCTCAAAAAAAAAAAAAAATCTTGAAAGGTGTGAGAGTGTGCCACTCTCCAAACCAAAGTGGGGGACTGCTTGAGATGAGAAGAATTAAAAACAAGTTTTTAAAACAGTAAATGGATATTAAAGCCCTGGTTTGGGTAATGTGCATTACCTTTGCACTAAGCCTCTCTTCGTTTTAACTTGCACAAATTCTGGAAGTTTATTGAAGTTTATTTATTCTCCCAAGGCAGGAAGGAATGTTTGATTCCCATGTCCATAATAGAATCACACCATTTTCCCTAATTTTGAAATAAGCAAATTTCAAAGATTAGTTAGCTTTATATGTGGGTAGGCACACTCAAAAATGTACAAATAGGAAAAAGAGAAACTTCTTGCTACATGACTGAGTATCTCCAAAGGTATCAAGAAAATTATTCACGTGATTTGGATGTTGTATTTGGTCCTGAAATTTCTAACACAGAGGGACCCAGTCTAGGTTTTCCCCCAAAGCAGTATCTGTTGAGGCAATATGAATTGGCAGTCTCCTTGACCAATCAAGAGCTAGAGCATCACACCTGGGATTCGGGGTGGAGACGTGTATTCTACCACCACTCAATTCCGCAGCTCCCTTTGGAACAAATAGAGACGGCAGGAACTGCCGCTGGGCTGACCCATCTCTTGTCCCCATGACCATGAACAAGGAAGGACAAGGGGCTAGCAGCAGATGTGGAGCCACTGGCCCATACTGTGAAGTCCCTGTTCTAGAAAATGGATTTGAACCACCAGAGGTCTTAGGAGCTGACTCCTTTGAGTGTCTGTTATTCCGATGCCAACAACATCTCTGTTTTATTTTTGTAGAGCAAGCCTTGTTTATATCCTTTAACTTGGTGAGGGCAAGAGTTACTTAATATTTATTAAGAACTGGGAGATACTTCACTCAGTAATATGGTATCAGGCCAATTTGACAGGTAATAATGCTGACTTGGAAAGTTTTTTGATCTGAGCCAAGATATCTTTTACAGTGGA